ATTATTTATTTAATGTCGCTCATACATTTCTTATTTAAGGATGTTTAACATATTAATCTAATTTTTAATTTTAATATTATTTTAACGTACTGTAGAAATTAAGATGTAAACAAAAAAAAATTAACAAAGCTGGAAAAATTAATAAAGCTGAATACGATTCATTGTCAGGATCCGAGTATTTAGGATGCTATTCGTGCTACCTTATGACTATTACACTGCTCTCATATTTATTTATGTCATCTATGAATACTTTAATTAAGTATAGTATAAGTTCTTTATATTTTTCTACAATGTATGAAATAATGACAGAAATTAATTAATGCAAAGAAAAAAATAATAAAAGAAATTAATTTAATATAATACAATTGCTATTTAAAAGAAGGATGTAATTACTTTTATTGCATATTATTTCTGAAAGTGTGATTCATCTTATTATTCTGTGGAAGTATGAAAATAAAATTACAAGAAAATGAATAAGATAGATACATTTTCATATTATAATTATTCATATAATAAAAAATAGGTTTTTTACAAATTTGTGTTAAAAAAAAAACATAAAGTACATAATATAAAGACTTCAGTTCATATAAAAATGTTAAAAAAATTTATTAATAGTAAAAGAAACTGAAAAATAACAAACAGAAATTGGCCATATTAGAACTCAACAGAATATTATTAATGCTCAAGTTAAAGAAAACACCCTATATTAAACATTGGTCCAGTTTCACAAGAAGCGAATTCGGACGATTTCGCAGCTCGACACGCTCAAGATTGACAATCGATGCGGCTCAACCGCTCGGAGGCCCGCCCCGCCCGCCGCCTCCCCCGTAGGGCCTCCACGGCCTACTCGGAGCTCTCGGCGGTTCCTCCGAAAAATACATGGAAGGGATACGTACACAAAGAAAGTCACATATATCGTTGCATATATGTGAAGCCTGTGTTGATGCTGCTGCCGTGCTGTTTGCCGTACGTTCAGTGAGAAAGGAAGGACGTAAATATTATTATTGTGTGATCGTGCGATTGTTAGATACGCATAAGGCCTGCACGTAAGTATCACTTAATTAATAATAATGTTTCGTTAATATTAAGTGTGACCATCGTTCATATTATTATATATCTTATTTACTTTAAAATAACATTATATATTGTGTTGTTATGACGTGCTTGTGTCTCGTTTTATTATTGTAAAGTACTTGTATAATTTACGGGAATTATTGTACAAAAATAACTTTATTTAACAATTCTTTACAATAACACTTATTACAATTTACTCGCGTATTATTACGTTCCTTGCTTACTAATGAGAAACATTATTTACTAAGATTAGAATAATAAAATAGAATTATGAGATAAGAAAGGATTTATAGGAATGAGGATCATTAAGTACGGAATAATACGCGAATAAATTGTATAGAATTGTCGAATAAAGTTATTTTTATACAATAATTCTCGCGAATCTTACAATAATTCAACGAGACAAAAACTCGTTATAGTTATAATAACACAATTTAATAATTAAATTGGGAAGGCCTAAGACAAGCGAATAAAGTGAAAAATTAATAACATTAAATGATTTTAATTTTAAATAATATATTTCTATACACTATATACATGTCTCGTACCTGATTTGATCTTCTTCAGTTGCAGTTAACATAATATATTTAAATATGTGGAATATAGATCATTTAAACAACAGTCAAATAAATCGTAAACATTATATTTATATTAAATAACCCTGCGAATGAACTAATGAGTTTACATTTGACTTCTACTTTAGTCTAAATATGTATATAGTATAATTGAAAAAGATCAAATATTGAAACATGTACGTACATATTATTTAAAATAATTTTATGAATCTATCATCTTGTTTGCTTGCTTTAGGCCAATTCCAATTTAATTATTAATTTTCATTAACATTTTTCTCTAAATTACTTCTTATTTCTGTTTTACTTATTAAAATTATATTATACAATTAGTATAGACTTTAAAAATTTTTCAAGAAAAAGCATAAATTATTTTACAAGACGTCGGCTCTTGTAATTTCTCTCTCTCTCTCTCTCTCTCTCTCTCTCTCTATCATGCGAAAATTTTCTATAAAGAAGGGAAGTGAAGCAGAGAGAGAGAGAGAGAGAGAGAGAAAAAGAGAGAGAGAGACAAAGAGAGATAGAAAAAAAATGTTACTGTAAAAATTATCTTTGGATTACAGAATGAATAAAAAGAAAGCAGAAGAAGAATTAATAAAATTAAAAAAACAAGAACAAGAAATAAAAAAATTAAAACAAAAATATCAGGCCGTATTGGACGACATGCCCAACGACAGCGATTACCACGGCGATGAGGAAACTGACGAAGAAAGGTAGGCTACAATTAGATACACACACACACACACACGCGCGCGCGC